TGAAAAATGCCATTGGTAGTTTATAGGGATTGCATTGAATCTGTAGATCGCTTTGGGTAGTATAGTCATTTTCACAACATTGATTCTTCCAATCCAAGCACATGGTATATCTCTCCATCTGTTTGTATTGTCTTTAATTTCTTTCATCAGTGTCTTATAGTTTTCTGCATATAGGTCTTTTGTCTCCTTAGGTAGGTTTATTCCTAGGTATTTTATTCTTTTTGTTGCAGTGGTAAATGGGAGTGTTTTCTTGATTTCACTTTCAGATTTTTCATCATTAGTGTATAGGAATGCTAGAGATTTCTGTGCATTAATTTTGTATCCTGCTATGCAAATCAAACAATGTGATACGCCATATTAAGAAACTGAAGGATAAAAACCATATGATAATCTTAATAGATGCAGAAAAAGCTTTTGACAAAATTCAACACCCATTTATGATAAAAACGCTCCAGAAAGTAGGCATAGAGGGAACCTACCTCAACATAATAAAGGCCATATACAGCAAACCCACAGCCAACATTGTTCTCAGTGGTGAAAAACTGAAACCATTTCCTCTAAGATCAGGCACAAGACAAGGTTGCCCACTCTCACCACTATTATTCAACATAGTTTTGGAAGTTTTAGCCACAGCAGTCAGAGAAGAAAAAGAAATAAAAGGAATCCAAATCGTAAAAGAAGAAGTAAAATTGTCACTGTTTGTAGATGACATGACACTATACATAGAGAATCATGAAGATGCTACCAGAGGGCTTCCCTGGTGGCGCAATGGTTAAGAATACGCTTGCCAATGCAGGGGACACGGGTTCGAGCCCTGGTCTGGGAAGAACCCACATGCTGCGGAGCAGCTAAGCCCATGCGCCACAACTACTGAGCCTGCACTCTAGAGCCCGCCAGCCACAACTGCTGAAGCCCGCACACCTAGAGCCTGTGCTCTGCAACAAGAGAAATCACCGCAGTGAGAAGCCTCCACACCACAATGAAGAGTAGCCCCCGCTCACATCAACTAGAGAAAGCTCGCGTGCAGCAACGAAGACCCAATGCCACCAAAAACAAAAAAACAAGAAACAAAACAAAACAAAAAGAAAAGATGCTACCAGAAAACTACTAGAGCTAATCAATGAATTTGGTAAAGTAGCAGGATACAAAATTGATGCACAGAAATCTCTTGAATTCCTATGAGTTTCTTTGCTGAGCAAAAGCTTATAAGTTTGATTAGGTGCCATTTGTTTGTTTTTGTTTTTATTTCTTTTGCCTTGGGAGACTGATCTAAGAAAATATTACTATGATTAATGTCTGAGAATGTTTTGCCTATGTTCTCTTTTAGGTGTTTTATGGTGTCATGTTTTATATATAAGTCTTTAGGCCATTTTGAGTTTATTTTTGTGTATGGTTTGAGGGAGTGTTCTAATTTCATTGATTTGCATGCGGCTGTCCAGCTTTCCCAGAACCACTTGCTGAAGAGACTGTATTTTCTCCATTGTATATTCTTGCCTCCTCTGTTGAAGATTAATTGACCAGAGGTGTCTGGGTTTATTTCTGGTCTCTATTCTGTTCCATTGATCTGTATGTCTGTTTTTGTGCCAGTACCATGCTATTTTGATTACTATAGCTTTGTAGTATTGTCTGAAGTCTGGGAGGGTTACGCCTCCAGCTTTGTTCTTTTTCCTGAGAATTACTTTGGCAATTCTAGTTCTTTTGTGGTTCCATGTAAATTTTAGGATTATTTGTTTTAGCTGTTTGAAAAATGTCATAGGTAATTTGATAAAGGATCACATTAAATCTGTAGATTGCTTTTGGTAGTATGGCCATTTTAACAATATTAATTATTCCATTTCAAGAGCATGGGATACCTTTCCATTTCTTTGAATCATCTTCAGTTTCCTTTATCAGTGTTTTAGAGTTCTCAGTGTATAGGTCTTTCACCTCCTTGATTAGGTTTATTCCTAGGTTTATTTATTTTTTGACCTGATTTTAAATGGGATTATTATTTTTTTTACTTTCTGATATTTCATTGTTAATGTGAAGAAATGTAACAGATTTTTGTATATCTATCTTGTATCCTGCTCCCTCGCTGAATTCATTTATTAGTCCTAATAGTTTTTGTGTGGAGTCTTTAGGATTTTCTACATAGAGTATCATTTCTTCTGCATACAATGACAGTTTTACCTCTTCCTTTCCAATTTGGATACATTTTATTTCTTTTTCTTGTCTAATTGCTGGGTTAGGACTTCCAATACTGTGTTGAATAGAAGTGGTAAGAGTGGGCATCCTTGTCTTGTTGCAGATTTTAGTGGGAAGGCTTTCAGCTTTTCACCATTGAGTATTATGTTGGCTGTGGGTTTGTCGTAAGTGGTTTTATTATGTTGAGATATGTTCATTCCCACTTTGGTGAGAACTTTCATCATGAATGGATGTTGAGTTTTGTTTTGTTTTGTTTTTTTCTTATTTATTTTTTGGCTGCATTGGGTCTTCATTGCTGCACAAGGGCTTTCTCTAATTGCAGTGAGCAGGGGCTACTCTTTGTTGCAGTGCACAGGCTTCTCATTGCGGTGGCTTCTCTTGTTGTGGAGCATGGGCTCTAGGCGTGTGGGCCTCAGTAGTTGCAGCATGCAGGCTCAGTAGTTGCGGCACGTGGACCCTAGAGTGCACGGGCTTCAGTAGTCACAGCACATGGGCTCAGTATTTGTGGCACACAGGCTCTAGGGTGCGCAGGCTTCAGTAGTTGTGGCGCACAGGCTTAGTTGCTCCATGTGGGATCTTCCCAGACCAGGGATTGAATCTGTGTCCCGTGCATTGGCAGACGGATTCTTAACCACTGCGCCATCTGGGAAGTCCAGATGTTGAGTTTTATCAAATGCTTTTTCTGCATCTGTTGAGATAATCATGTGGTTTTTGTCTTTTCTTTTGTTAATATAGTGTATCACATTGATTGATTAGTGTTATGTTGAACCATCCTTGTGACCCTGGAATGAATCTGACTTGATCATTGGTGTATGATTATTTTTGTGTATTGTTGGATTCAGTTTGCTAATATTTTGTTGAGGACTTTTGCATCTATATTTATCAAAGATATTGACCTGTAATTTTCTTTTTTTGTAGTGTCTTTGTCTGGTTTGGTATCAGGGTGATGGTGGCTTCATAGAATGACTTTGGGAGTGTTCCCTCCTCTTCAGTCTTTTGGAAGAGTTTGAGAAGGATTGGTATGAGTTCTTCTTTGTGTGTTTGGTAGAATTCCCCAGTGAAGCCATCTCATCCTGGACTTTTGTTTACAGGGAGTTTTCTTAATTACAGATTCTGTTTTAGTGATTGGTCTGTTCAGAGTATCTGTTTCTTCTTGATTAAGTTTTGACAGGCTGTATGTTTCTAGAAACTTGTCCATTTCTTCTAGGTTGTCCATTTCATTGGCATATAACTGTTCATAGTACTCTCTTATGATTTTTTTTGTTTCTCCAGTACTGGTTGTTATTTCTTCTCTTTCATTTCTTATTTTATTTAGTTCCTCTCTTTTCTTCTTGGTGAGCCTGGCTAGAGGTTTGTTGGTTTTGTTTATGAGGATTGGAGCTTTTAGGTGAAATATTTTTACATATTTTTTAAAAATTTTATTGAATCTAAAAAACTCAGTTGATTTACAGTGTTGTATTAATTTCTTCTGTACAGAAAATTGATTCAGTTATACATATATATTCTTTTTCATATTCTTTTCCATTATGGTTTATTACAGGCTATTGAATATAGTCCCCTGTGCTATACAGTAGAATCTTGTTTTTTATCCATTCTATATATAATAGTTTGCATCTGTTAATCACAAACTCGCAGTTCTTCCCTCCCCCATTCCCACCCTTGGCAACCACAAGTCTATTCTCTATGTCTGTGAGTCTGTTTCTGTTTCATAGATGTGTTTATTTGTACATATTTTTAGACGGTCTTAGTGGGGTAAAAATCTGCAGGGAAAATTTAATTTGGGTCAATTAATTAATAAAAATGACGTAGGTGGAATAAAAGATTCAAGAAATTTTCAGGAAAATAAAGTGAAATGGAGCTTTTTTGACTTTACTTGCTTTTGGCAAAAAGTCTGACCATAGTCAGTGGCATTTACAATAGTTGCCTTTCTCTGAGGCCCTCTCTTTTCTTTGGCTTTATTTGAGATGAAGAGCAAGAAATGTAGGAAAGTTTATTATAAAGTAAAATGGGTAAGTGCAGACAAATGTAATTCCTGGGCAGACACCTTGCATTGGGTGGCCATTGAAGAAGTTATATGCAGTGAACAAAAGATAAGTAACAGTTTCTCTTAATTATTTCTCAGAGGACTCAGGCTTTAATTTTATTGCACTACAGAACAAATTGTTTCTTGGAAGCAAATTAAATGTCACCTATTGGAAAAAAGTAAACTGTAAAACAGGTGCTACTTAATTAAGCTGTATCCCTAAATGTAAAAATGTAAGTTTTGGCTTTTATAACATTGGTATATTTTTAAAGTTATTGGAAGTTTTAACTCTATAGCTTTACTCTGAAACCAACATAAGCTTAGAATTTTTTTTTTTTTTTTTTTTTTTTTTTTGCTGTACTTGGGCCTCTCACTGTTGTGGCCTCTCCCGTTGCGGAGCACAGGCTCCGGATGCGCAGGCTCAGCGGCCACGGCTCACGGGTCCAGCCGCTCCGTGGCATGTGGGATCTTCCCAGACCTGGGCACGAACCCGTGTCCCCTGCATCGGCAGGCGGACTCTTAGCCACTGCGCCACCAGGGAAGCCCAAGCTTAGAATTTATCATCAGAAAACCTTAATTTTAAAAGTAACTATCAAACTTGTGAAAGGATGAAAATTTTATGTTACTTTTTAAAGCTAAATTGTTAAATTCAAAAAAATTGTATTATACTCATGATAGTATCCTTTGATATGAAATTCATATAATAATCAGAATTGGCAACAATAAATGTAATAATGTTTAAGTAGTGACTATCTTTATAACTTTAATCATGTTCTTCACATTCTCTAAGCAGAGTTCAGACGATGAAGACTGTTCAGCAAAAGGAAGGAATCGTCACATCGTTGTCAATAAGGCAGAACTTGCTAACTCCATCGAGGTGTTGGAAAGCTTTAAGCTGGCCAGAGAGAGCTGGGAGCTGCTCTATTCCCTGGAATTCCTTGACAAGGGTAAGGCATGCTCATCCTGTTGTGATATTTCATTTTTTATGGGAAATCATCATGCCGAAAAGGTTCATTATTCTACTCGAAATGTCGTCACTGACGGCTGATTAAATTGATTACAGTAGTTCACACATTTCATAGGATTCTTTTTTCAGCAGGAAATCTAATCAGTTATAAATATTCAAATAACCATTTACCTCTTAGCTCGTGCACTGGGGGTGTATTATAATCAGGGTTGGGGTGAACTTGGAGGGGGGGGGTTGGTCTTTCTGTTAAAATTTATATTGCTGGCCTTTTTCTTGCTGGGTTTGTCTGGTGCTTTTAGTCGCTCTGCCCGCTGCTTTGTGCCCCCTCCAGCCACATGTGACTAAGGCTGCAGAGGGTGGTGCTGTGATGCCTGACTTGACTCCGTTGCTTGAAAGCCCAAATTCCAAACACTGCAGAAAGCCCGCTTTGAGCATAGACAGAAATGAGAGGGAGTTTCCTCTGTATAATATTTACACTACTGAGTATTTCAGCACTACTCAGAAATCACTAGCACTCTGCTAACCAGCATATTTTCCTGTACTTTGGGATCAAGGCCGTTACTTTCCTCCTGGCCAGTGGACATTTGTCCCTGGCCTGCTCCTGTCACGTGCCTATACAGGCCCCTTGTTTGATGTGTCGTGTCATAGTTTCTAAGTAAACATTGCATCGTCCAGTTCCTCCTTGTCACATCTAGAATGGTGAACAGGTATGTGACTTTTGGAGGGGATGTTTTTCTTTAGGCATAAATCGACTTAAAAAAATGAGTGAAACTCTTAGTGTCATATATTTATTACTTTAACTGGGTGAAAGCAAAGCAGTTTAAAAGATAAAGTAATGTGTGAAAAGCATTTTGAGCAGCTGCTAGCACATGATGTGTGCTTAGTAAGTGTTGGTGCCTAATAAGGTTATTGCTTGTGTATTACTGGTAAGTATTCTGCCCTAACTTTACTATCTAACTGAAAGTCCAGACCATTGTTTTAGAAATCAAAGTCTAAAGTTACATCCATTTTTTGGTAATTTGTTTCTCTCTGACTATTGTTCTGTTGGTGGGTATGTCAGTTTTATTCTCCGCTTCTGTGTTACATATTTCTGGTAAATTAGCTTTTGAATTCTTGCTCAGAATTTACAAGAATTTGTTTGGCGTGGAAGACGGATACTTGGCTTTGGTTGAGAATCTTCCTCAACGATGTGATCATCTATCAGGTAATGTGTGTTTAAGTACCTGTGTCTTGACCACGGTTGCTGTGAGCATCTTCAGCGTGAAGGTGTGTGCGTTTCCTCCTGCTCTGAAGGCAGATGTTTCTTCTTCACTGATGAGGGGATTGTGGTCCACTTTCAGCTGAGAACAGCTCCAGACGGCAGGCCCACATCTGGGTTACTTTTGGGGGGTCCAATCACACCCCTCTGTAAAAGTAAGAGTTTTATTTCTCAGTGAAAGACAAACACTGCTCACCCCTCCTCTCTGCTCTGGGGGAGCCCTGCTGCCTTGCTCTGCTGTCCTCGAGCTACTTATGTCCAGAAGCGAGAGAGGATTCTGTAACGAGAGGGAGAGCTTCCAACCCCTGTTGTTGAAATGGGCAGGTTGCAGCTTCCAGCCTTCATGAGGAGAAATGGCATTAGTAGTAAAATATTCATAAAGAAGTGGTATATCCAAAATGTACTCTACCAAAGAGCTTGTGTCATTTTATTTAGTCTCAAGAATTAAGACTAGAAAGAAAAATCTTTGTATTTATGAAGTCCCCCTACAGATCCTCCACGTAGCTTTAGCTAAGTTTGTTTGATTCTGTAGCTGTGTCCATTTCCTCCTCAAATGATTAAGCACAGGTGCCTGATTTGTGGTTGCTTGCTAGGGGCATAATTAGCTCTGGAGATTCTTTAATGGCACTGTGTTTCCCTCCTTGCTGTGACTTTCTAAGGGTCAATATAAAAAGGCCATAGCCAGCCTGCACCACTTGGCAGCTCTCCAGGGGCCGCTTCCTCAGCCACAGATCTCGGGACAGGGGACCTTGGAGCATCAGAGGGCGCTCATCCAGCTGGCAACCTGCCACTTTGCCTTGGGGGAGTACAGAGTGAGTACTGGGTGCCTGGCATGGGGACGTGCAGGCGCACTCGGTAACCTTGGGGCTTTCTTTTTTTTTTTTCCCAGAGTGGCTTTTTAATTCAGTGCATGTTTACTTGAAGCTTGCTCTTTCTTCCTAGATTTTATTATCTCATCTGCTGGTGAAAAGGTTAGTGATGCTGTTTAATTTCCTCCTTTCTATAGCTTCCCTCAAGTTAGGCTTCCATACTTTTCACATTTCCCGCTCATTATTCCATTTGTTTGAGGATGATTTTTACTTTCTTGCCTGGAATCCCTTTAGAGTGAGTCAGTCCTCTTGTACTTGGACAGAAGAGGCCTTCACCCAGTGGGAGATGGAGATTCACAATAGCATATCTGAACCTCAGGTTCTCTTTTTACGTGGTGGTGACACCTCTTAGGGGTGTTGCAGGAGCAGCTGTATGAACAGACCTGCCTTCTCCATGCTGTGAGACCCTCCTTGCATGGTGGCCGCACAGCTTCGGTCCGCAGTAAACACCTGCATGCGGTGAGCGTGACCAGCGCAGCTTTATACGCACAGTTACTGGATAGATTCAGGTCACACCTTAACACACCAACTCGGATTTCTTCTTGTCTCTCTATAGAGATTAAGTTGATTACTTTGTGATTAAAAATGCTAAATTAAATTTTTTCACTTGAACTTTGAAATATGATTTACAATTTGCCATGATGAATTTTAGAAAGGAAAAGTTAATAAGTATGTGAAGTATGTGCATTTAAAATTGAAATGCTTTTCTACCATCACTTACGTTGTCAGGTGCCTAATTCTAAGTTTCAGTTGATTCCTTTTGCGAACTTAAGAGAGCACATGGTTATGCACACAGATACACATGTGTCGTGTAGAATTAGACAGCCATGCACGGTACTGCTGTTCTGCATTGTACGAGGGAACGTACGATAAACTGGTAGATTTGATTAAGCTATGCAGACTCATTCTCTCTGAGGGCTCCTGTTACCACCTCCGTGCGGGTCGCTCTTAGGCTTTCATCTTTGGTTTCTACCTTACCTGATTCCTGAGTCTCTGACTGCCTGTCTTTGGCTGGGACTCAGCATGTCCAGATGTGCATTTCCTTAGTTCTCTGGACCTTAGACACCACCTGTCAAATCACAGAGACTTACTCAAGCTGGTCCTTTTGTCTCTTCCAGGATGGGGCACCAGTGCTTTTGGCATAGTGCCTTTTATTTCCACTGCCACCACCCTAACCCACGGCTTTTAACTGAGTTTGTTGCCTGTAACCATTTTTCCAACCCTATAACTTATGGTCAGCTCTCTACAACATTGCTGTCATCATTCCATTTCATCGAGGTGTTGACTTCCTGGGTGCCCCAGGGTGGGATCCCTGTTTCAAGGACATCTAATTTGAGTTGGAGAGAGAAGTGCAGGTGTTTATGTAAGACAGTTAAAAATCCAGTACTAGCAGTTTGCCTCAGACCTGTGCACAGCAGCCTTTCAGGGAAGGGTGGTTTCGCCCGGGCCCACACCCTCAGGGAAAGAAGGTGGGTATTGAAGGGAGGGTGGCGCCATGTGATTCTGAGTTAACCCCCGGTCGCACTACTCACTAGTGCTGTGACCTGTCTAACTCCAGGGTTCAAGTTCTTAACTCCCCAGCTGCCGACCTCTCAAAGCTGGAGCTTCACGGCCCTGTGGCCATGGGTGATTCTGGATGTGCCAGGATACCGACCCCTCAGCCCCAGGCAGTTAGCTGTGGCTTGGGCAGCTAAGCCCCGGATCATTTGCTGCCAGCTCTGAGCAGCCTTACAAATGCTATTTTCTGGAAGTGCCAAGACATGAAAAAGGTTGGGAAGATTCCACTTCGTCATCTGTAAAATGGGGGTAGTAGGGGGTTGTGCCTGACACACAGGAGATGCTCCCTCAGCCGATTCTGACTGTTACTACTGGAATTTGATGGGTGGACAGAAGGTGATGCCCTGCTCTCTGTGGCTTGAGACCACCTGCTCCGTGGGCACCTGGGGCCGCCTCTCACCCAGCAGCACGTCATTGGTCCAGTTTCATTTCTGTTTCCTAAACCACGCCCTCCTTCCCCTCAAGGGAATTGCCAAAACCAGTAGAAAGCCTTCCCCACGTCGTCTTTCTCTCCTCCTTTGAAAACCCGTTTTTCTGTTTTCCATATTTCAGATCCTGCCCCCCTTTAAGGCTTAGATCACCTCCCTGCCTGAAATTTTTCCTGCTAGTTTAGTCTGTGGGTGTTTCTACTTAGCTTTAAATTATGCTCTAAACATAACATTTTAGTCCGCCACCATGTGTCCCGTTTTGTTAATTTTTCTATTCAGTGAGTTAGTAAATGTCCTTAAGATAGGGACATACTTCTTTTGGATTCCACTGTGCTGTGATACACTTTGGTAGTTTAGTTAATACTTGATTAATTTTTAGGTTTTGTTCTTTTGTTTTTTAACAGTGAAGAATGAGTTAGTGTTCCCTGAATGGTCTAGTACGTGGATTTGATCTCAGTTATTTTTCTACACGGTGTCAAGCAGACAGTACTGGTCACGTGGCGTCCTGGGGCCGTGCTCCCGAGCTCTGTGCACAGGTGGCCCCACTTGTGCTGCATAGGTTTTAGTTACGTAGATTTGGTTTCAGTCAGAAACTTTCAGTTAGTTCCTTCTGGTCTTGTCTTCTCTAGATGACGTGTGAGAAAGTCCTTGATTTGATGTGCTACATGGTCCTCCCCATCCAGGACGGAGGCAAGTCACAGGAAGAACCCTCAAAAATAAAGCCCAAGTTTAGAAAAGGTACAGTGACAAATTTTATTTTTATTTTATAGAAATAGCTTTAGGACCTAAGGCTGGGAATTTTTTGTAATTCCTGACAACATAATACCATGTGATCTGCAGAGCTTGACAAATTGTATAAGAAGCGAAGTGCTCGCCAAGCTTTTCGTGGCTCTGATTTCATAAGCAGCCATACATCTGTCCTTCTTCCAAAGTTCTCATCAGTTCCTGAGTTTGTTGGCTCTTTGAAGAATATCAGTGAGCTCCTTTTCCTATCTTTACCAATTCTAGGAAATCTTATAATACTTAGTTGAGAAGGATCTCTTAGCTTGTCTCTCGGGCTGTTTTGAGCTTTACCTCAAGTTGCTCATTGTTGAAAAACTACGTAAATTGAGCTGTGATGCTTCATAGGAAAGGAAGAGAGCCCCACTGTCATGATCTAAGTTCCATCTTAGAAGTTGGAAAAAGATAATCTGTCAAACCCAAGCCAAGTAGAAAATGGGGAATAATAAAGACAAGAGCAGAAACTAATGAAATAGAAAAAAAAATAGAGGAAATTAATAAAGCAAAAAGTTGGATTTCTGAAAAAAAATAGTGAAATTGATGAACCCCTAACAAGATTGACCAGGAAGGTAGTAAATACAAATAACCAATATCAGGAATGGAAGAGGGAATGTCACTCCAGATCGTGCTGAAACCAGAAGGACAGTAAGAGAATAGGTTATGAATAACTTTATGCCAATAAATTTAACAATTTAGGTGAAATGGAAAGAATTCCTTGAAAAACACAACTTACCAAAACAGACACAAAATGAAATAGAAAATCTGAATGTTTTATATCTATCAAAGAAATTAAATTTTGTTGTCAAAAACTTTCCCACAAAGAAAACTCCAGGCCCATTTGGCTTCACTGTGAATCTTGTCAAGCATTTAGTAAGAAATAACTCCAATCCTGTACACACTTTTGGAGAAAATAGAGAAAGAGGGAACACTTACCAATTCAGTTTTTAAGACAAACATAACCCTGATAGCAAAACCAAACAAGAGAAGAACATTAAAGGCCAGTGTCTATCATGATCTTAGATGCCAAAATTCTTAACAAAATATAAGCAAATACAGCAATATATAAGAAAGATAATACATAATGGCCAAGTATACCGGAAATGCAAAGGTGGTTTAACACAGGAAAACCAGTCACTGCAGTTCACCACATTAGCAGATTAAAGGAGAAAAATCATAAGATTATCTTAATAGATGCAGACAGAATTCAATTATGTCTGTATTTATTATTCATGATTTTTTAAAAATCTTAGTAAACTAGAGATTGAAGGAAACTTCCTCAGCATCATTCTTAACTATGAAATATTGAATGCTTTCCCCAAGACCAGCATCAGTACAGGGGTGTCTGCTGTCAGCACCTCAATTCAACATCCTGGAGATTCTAGCAAACACAATAAGCAAGAAAAAGAAAGGTTGAAAAAGAACCGTTTTTATTCGCAGCTACATATTTGGCTACGTAGAAAAGTCAAGGAATCTCCAAGTAGAATAATATCAAACCCCATAAAATACTTAGGGATAAATTTAATGAAAGATGTGCAAAATCATGTTTGTAGGTTAGAAGACTCAATATTGTTAGGATACCAGTTCTCCCCAAATGTCTCTATAGATTCAATGCAATCCCAGTCAAAATCCCAGCAGACTTTCTTTTTTTAACAGAAGTTGACAAACTGATTCTAAAATTTATATGGAAATACTACAACAGTTTTGAAAAAGACTAACAAAATGACAAGTGACCCTACCTGATAGCAGGGTTTAATATAAAGCTACAGTTATCCAGACAGTATTGGCACAAGATTGGAGAATCCAGAAATGGACCCACATAAGTATGGTCAAATGATTTTCCATGAAGACGCCAAAGTAATTCAATGGAGAAAGGAAAGCCTTTTCAACAAATGGTGCTGGAACAAAGGGATCTTCATGTAGAGGAAAAAAAGATCCTCACCTCCTACCTCACATTTTTCCCAAAAATTAATTTGAGCTGGAGCAGAGAGACGAAAAGGAGAAGCTAAATGATAACATTTTTTTAGAAGAAAATTTCTTTGAGACTGGTAGTAGGTTCCTTAGGACACTAAAAGCTTTCTAGAAGACAAAAGCATGACAGTTTTGATACTTATTGGGAGTTCATTGTACTATTCTGTTTACTTTTTATATGTTTGGGATTTTCCACAACAAAAGGTTGAAAAAACTAGACATAGCCCAGACCCCTTCAAAAATTAATATGTCTGTGGAACAGAAACAGATCAGGTGGATAAGACTTGACCTAGCGGACATCAAGACTAATTTTAAAGTGTAGCATTGGCGTAGAGATTGACCCCAGGAACAGAATAGAGAATGAAGAAACTGGTAGCATTACAGTTCAGGGGAGGAAGAATGAATTTATCCTGTAAGTGGTACTGTTACAGTTGATTATCCAAATACAAAAACGACAGAAAAGAGATTCCTCCTTCATACTACAAAAGAACCCTTTAAATTTTAAGATTTAAATATTAAAACTAAAACTTTTAAACTTTTAGAAGAAAATACAGAAGACGATCTTTGTTGCTTTCTAGTTAGAGAAGGATTTAGGCTACAAAGATTTGATCACGTTAAAATCAAAATACCGACAAAAGATATTATGATCAAAGTGAAAAGCTATAGACTATAAGAAAATTGTCCAGCACAATTTATATATTTATATACTTATATATTCAACAAAAAATTAGTATCCAGAATTTCGAAAGAGCTCCTATAAGAAACAAATAACCAACCCCCCATAGAAAAATAGGCAAAAAATATGAACAACAGATTCACAGAAGCCAAATGGCCAAAAACTACTTGGAAAGATTCTCCACCTATTATTAATACAGGAAATTCAGATTAAAACAATAAGCTATCATTTTACATCAGGATGCAGAGAGTAAAGGGTGGCCGTATTGACCATCAGGACGTGAAGATACGCATCGCCCACGTGCTTCTGGAAGGCACATAGATTCATATGGTCACTTTGGAGAGCAGTTTAGCAGTACCAAGTTGCATATCTCACTACCTGGTTATGTGCCCCTTCCAAGTATAGACTTTAGATCAGTGATCTCCAAACTTGGGCCCTCACCTACTGGGTCATGAATTTCCCATAGAAATTTTCTTTTTTAATGAGATAGACTGTAACAGTATTATTAAAATGAATGTATCTCCACTAAAAAGGGTAAATTTTATTTCATGAACCTTTTGTTTTAGACACACAGTTGACCCTTGAACAATGCAGGAGTTAACCCAGGGGCTCAGACCCACCCCTCCCCGCAACGGTCGAAAATCTGGGTACTGCCCTCTGCCTCAAAAACAGGAACTGACCAGTGACTCAGCCTAGGGCAGGAAGCTGGAACAGTTTGGATAAAATCAGGGCTCAGACCGCAATTCTTTTGATTCCACATGTTGTGATCTCTAATCCAATACAAACTTTTCCCCACAGTTAGTTCATTTAGAGATCTGTAAGATGAACATGCAGACACTGTATTTACTGAAAAATCCATGTATAAGTGGACCCGTGCAGTTCAGACCTGTGTTGCTCAGAAGCCAGCTGTATGAACATGTGTAAGTGTGTGTGCACAGGGTTGCCATGTGAAAAGCATATTTATTTCTTGCTACTTCTTGCCTCTGGGGTACAGAGGATTTAGGATAGAAAGAGCACACAGCATAAAGGAAAGGACTATGGTCTTGGTTTGAAAAACAACCATTGCTTAAAGTTTTTTCCACAAGTGCACAAGAGAATATATATAAGAATGTTTATTTCAGCATTATTGGTAATAGTGAAAAATTGGAATACTCAGTGTTTACCATAAAAGAATGGATAAATCAGGTGTGGTCAGTGTAACCAACAGAACACTACGTAACACAGAAAACCAATGCGCTAGAGCCACAGATATTAGTACCAAAAACAATCTACAGAAAGATACGTACGCTATGACACCATTTATATAGTAGACTGAAAACACACGAAACGTTTCTCTGCAGTGCGTGAATATAGATTCCTGTGTTAAAAGCAGGCAGTGTGCACAGGAATGATGAACCCCCGTTCAGAATAGCAGTCTTCTCTCAGGAGGGAGGCAGGAGTGGCATCAGAAGAGAAGTGAGCTTGCGATGCTTTATATTAAAATCTAAAACTAAAGCAGATGTCAGCATTTTATACAGCTGAGTGGTGAGCACTCTGCTGTTTGTAATAATCTCTGTTATTTTCTATGTATTTGAAATGTTTCATAAGTATTTAAGCAACTTTAGAAATTTAGATTGAGAAATGAAATCCAGAGACGATTGAAAAACCAGTTTCACCTTCACTAAATGTAATTTTGGTTTAACTGTGTTGAGACCATGTGATTGTTGCTTATCCTTCTCCTTTTAAGGAAAGCACTTTAAACATTTGCTTCTCAAAGCTCTTTTCTTTGCTACTAACAAATATATTGTGGACTTTTCTTAGGTTCAGATCTGAAGCTTCTGCCTTGTACCAGCAAGGCTATCATGCCCTATTGCCTGCATTTAATGTTAGCTTGTTTTAAGGTAAGCTTCACATTGATTAGTGTAAAGGAAATTAATTTGCAAGATTGTTCTGATGATCTAGAATGACTTGAATTGAGAGCCTTAGGCACAAATGTTAGTTTAGTCCTTTGAAAACAGGTTGGTGTAGTGAGGAAAGCACATGGGCAAGGAATTAACAAATATTTATTAAATATCGACTGCACTAGGCAAAGATGAGTAGGAAATAATCCCCATCCTCGAGAGGTTTATGGGTAACAGTGGGGCAGATAATTTACAGGTAATAGTGGGGTGGATATACAAATAACCTTGCCTGTGGTAGTGTCCAGTAAATATTTTATGAATTAGCCTACGAGTCAGGATATATTAGCTACAGAAGAAGGGAGCACAAGTGCTGTTGGGCTTATGGAGGGATGTGAGTTCATTATCACAGGGATAGGGCATGAGGCTGGGCACGTGCAGAGGCCCAGCAGAGTCAGGAAAGCCTAAGGACCGGGCTGTGGGGAGTGGAGGCCTGGGGCGGACAGGCTGAATTGTCTACAAAGGCTCATGAGCAGGGGGCAGCAGTGTCGGGTCTCGCCTTCAGGGCGGTAATTCCCAAACCTGACTCTTTTTTTTTTTTTGAATGGCTGTGTCCACTTTATTGATGTGTACCACAACGTATTTAATCTTTCTCCTGGTGCTGGACATTTAGGTTATTCATCTCGTCCTATCCATGCCCCCCCTTTTTTTTTTTTTAACATTTTTATTGGGAGGGTGGGAGGGAGGGAGACGCAAGAGGGAGGAGATATGGGAACATATGTATATGTATAACTGATTCACTTTGTTATAAAGCAGAAACTGACACACCATTGTAAAGCAATTATACCCCAAACCTGACTCTTGATCTGAAGCATTGAGGCGGCAGAAACAATTTGAAGTGACTTCAGGCACAGCTGCCAGTTTAGAACCAGAAGCCCTTTGACAGCTTCTCACTTCACACCCCTGCGTCCTCCTTCCCGTGGCTCCCGCCGGCCTTTCTCCCCAGTCCCATGGTCTCCTCAGACCCCTCTGTCTAAGGGGGCCTCTCGCCCGCCCTCCATCCCCCCCCGGCCCCTTAAAAGAAGTCCCCAAATTCTCTTCTGTTGCCCAGACCACTCACCTTCCTCGCACCCTCATCCCCGCGTTCAGAGCCTCAGGCCCACCCTGCGTGTCCCGCTCCCGCCAGGATGCTCACGAGGGTGCCGGGGAGCCGGGTTCTGTGGTGGGGCCCCTCCTCGCCGGCAGCGGTGACATTTGCCAGGCAGGCTTGACTTCTGCTGTCCCTTCTGACTAGTGACCGTAGTCACGCACTTCCCTGCAACAGTGTTTTGGGGGAGGTGGTATCGGGCATGTGTGAGATCACCCCGTGACTCCCTCCCCTCTGTCCTGCAGCTGAGAGCCTTCACAGACAGCAGAGACGACATGGCGCTGGGGCACGTGATCGTGCTGCTTCAGCAGGAGTGGCCGCGGGGAGAGACCCTTTTCTTGAAAGCCGTCAATAAGATTTGCCAGCAAGGAAACTTCCAATATGAGAATTTTTTCAATTATGTTACAAGTATCCTTTTTCTTGTTTGAGCAGAAGAAATGCTTGGTACAAAAATGAACGAACCATTTGGGGTAGAAATAATGGTTTTGGTGATTTGGGGGAAAAGGAGAAGGAATGGTGACTTAAAATGGGATTGTGGCAGCTGGTTTTGTGAAAGTCATGAATGGCTTCAAAGAGGAATCAGGAACATGGACAGCCGTGTTGCATTTTCCACTTCAAGTGGCTTCTTAGGAAGGTACCCAGGGTGCCTGAAATAAGAGCCTGCAGGCTCCCTGCAGGCCCAGAGTGACTGCTGGGGCCGTAGACTGTGATTCTCTGTTGGCCTTCCTCTGGGAACAGGGTCCCTGGGGTCTGGGGTTACAACAGCAGCTGGTGGCCCGTGGGGCACCCGCCAGAGAATCTCCTCCACCCAGCACTGGCTTTCGTGAGGGGGAGCATTGTATTTCATACTGTTGGTTAGGGAAAGGTCTGCTTCTCTTAATACATTATTTTTGAGTTGCAAGGCGTCTGACATCCCTCTCCAGGTACCTAGAGCAGCATTTCTTAATCTTTGGGCCAGGGGGAGGGGGGCGGTGTGTATAGCACCTCTACCGCCTCTTTCTTACTAAGAAAACAAAAGATTCTGCTCTTGGGACCCTATAGGCTCTGCTCAGTCAGCTACCTGAGAAACATGTTTCTCTTTGTGAGGGCGTTGGGCTGGCATAGGAACCGCTGGGTCTGGACTCAGGCAGCGCTGGGTTGTTGGTGCGGTCGCCATGGGCAGGTCTCTCAGTGGCTGCGAGCCTGTCTGCTCCTCCAGGAGAGCAGGGCTCCATGCTTTCTCACGTGGTTCCCTGAATCTGGCCTCAGATATCGACATGCTGGAGGAGTTCGCCTACCTGAGAACTCAGGAAGGTGGGAAGATCCATCTGGAACTCCTGCCCAATCAAGGGATGCTGATCAAGTAAGGGCACCGCCTCCTGCCCTCCGTGCTGAGCGCCCGCCTTCGTGTGCTCGTGGGAAACGTTTGTAAATGTCGGTGGCTTGCACACAGTCATTAGAAAGGAATACAAACCTGGTCTCTGTTTTGGAGAGTAGATTTGATTCCGGGAATCCTTTTGAAAGACTTGGCATTTCCTTAACTACATTTCTGATAGAACATTGTTTAAATTGGGGTAGTTCTGTCACTTTTGACACTTACTTCACTAGACAAAAGTCTTACTCATGGTATCTTTTCTGTTCCAAAACTTACAGACTGATCCTATAATTTCTGATTAGAAGTAGGTGCTTTTAATTAAGAAAAGCCATGCTTAACTAAAGTTGAGCTGGACTGGGAAAAACTGCAGACCTAACTTCCACACTGTACTTGGGCCTCAGTGTTGACTGAAGCCCTGCTGAGCACCTGCCTGCTCAGCAGGGTGGGGCTTGGTCTTGGCACTCCCCACTCCTGGATGAAATCAGTGACCATTTATGATTTTTAAATGCCCTTGCTTCTGCCCTTCAGTCCTCATTGCAGTTTGGACAGTACATCCTCTGTGCTGCAGACGCCTCGCGTAGTGTGATGTCCATACCTCCTCCTCTGCGTCCTGCACGTTCAGCGTGTGTGGGTCAGGATCAGAGTCACTGCAGGAGACCGAACCCCGAGTGAGAAGAAAGTGTTGCTGAGGCTGACAGTCTCCTTTTTCCCTCACTTGTGAAAGGGACGAGTTTTCAGTGCAAAGCCAAAATCCGCATCTCGTGCTGTCTTTGGGGAGTGTTGTCGAGAGGGAAGTAAGAAGTGTCCCTCTGGACTCCCGTAGCCTCGGGGCTGGGGCATCCAGGCAGCATGGTGTCCTGTCAGGAATGGGAAGGTGGGGTGCTTGTCCTTCACCTTGCAAACATTACTAAAGATTCTGAGCATTTGACATGAAAGCGCAAGACCTTTATACGTTAGCTGGCTCAGGCAAGGGGACCAGACACGCTCAATTTCTCACTCTGGTAGCTCCCCTAGAACGTGGGGAAAATAATTGCGTGATTCAAAATATTCTTCACCGTGCTTGAGAGTAAAGATGGCTTTTTGACACGGAAGCCTAGGTAACCCCTTTTACGTTGTAATTTGCAGGTTTTGAGCCTGGACACACAAACATACCTTTAACAGCTTTTTCTTTAATTCCCATTAATGCTCACCATACAAATTGTCATAATACGGAGACAACCTCAGTAGAATCAACTCCGTTTACTTAGATTAAACCTGAGTTTAATAATCCTCACACTAGATAATGCTTAGCTGTGAATGTGAGAGAAGAGGCTGTCAGAAAATCAGTGGTTGAGTCTCAGACTTCATTCTACTGAACCTGTCTTCTCCAGCCAGTTTTATTGAGCTGCACAGTGACACGGGAACATGCAGACAAGCCCTCGGACGAGTAGTGAAGGCGAGGGCTGTTGGACACGCAGACGGTGTCCTTAGTTAAAGAAACCCTTAATTTCTTCTAACTCCCTGTAGAAGACCATTAAGTCTCTTAGGAAACCTGCTGCTCCATCAGTTTGGAAGCAGGACTAGGGGCTGTTGCTTAGTGAGCTGACAGTGTGAGTCTCAGGGTTCATTTGAAACCTGCCTTCCAAATTTCTGATGAGAAGCTACCGTGGAGAAGCGGGCCGCCTGAGACAGTTGAGGTATGGTCGGGATCTTGAGTAAAACTGTCACATTCCTTTTCCCTTTGGGTCGCAAACATTGTCTGAAGCCATTGTGGACCTTCTGGGGGGCCCTCCAGCCGAGCGCAGAGATGCAGGGAGCAGAGTCCAGCCTTCCCCCAGGTGAGGCTGTGAGTCTGTCCTGGCTGTGGCGTCTGGGCTACAGCAGGTACGGTACCAGCGCCGAGGTCACGGGGGCCTGACTGGCAGGAGGGACGAGCTCTGATTCTTACCTACACGTGCTGCTCTCGTGTATTCTGAAGTAGAGAAATGCTTCTGTGCTGATGCTTGCAGTACCCTGGGTGACACAGAAACCCGTGTCCTGTGTGTGCCCCGAACTGGGTGCGTGATGACGTTCTCAGAGGTGATCACCCGGCTAATGTACTCATTTCTGTTCTTACAGAATCCCACAAAGCCATGGCCCAGACTCTTGTTTTCCCCCATCTGTTCCTTTTCTCAATACTTTTTGAAATTTAAACTCAACCTTTCTTTATCAAAAACATTGCCAGCCTCTCCAGTCCTCTTGAAAGGGCCTCTTCAGTCTGGGGCTTCAGTCCCATCAAAGATGGTTCTAAAAAGTCACGGGTGTCTTTCTGGGATCGGCATGGACGTGGCAAACGTGGAGAGCAAAGGCGCTGGATTTGAGATTCTCTCCACGGCCGTTCCATGGCATCTCCCCATCCTCTCCCCTGGCTCTTGCTTTTCATGCCAGATCTCAGCGGGCTGAGCCGGGGACTGGCAGCCGAGAGGCCTGTGGACCCATGTGGGCCACAGCCGTGCAGCGGGGGGGCTGGTAGCCTCTGTCCTCCCAAAACAGCTGCTCGAGGCCTGAGGCTGGCGGTTCTGTGCAGCCTGCCCCCCGTCTCATGCGTTTTCTCTGGAGTGTTGTTTTTAAGTGCAGGCTGAGTCGGTGTGGGTGTTTGAATGCCGCTGTTTGCTGTTTTTTAAAGGCCTTCTAGCCCTCCCATGGGGTTACTGCAGCAGGAATTCTTACCTGTGCTTCAGCCCAGCATACAGACTGCTGACAGGTACCAAGTGGACACACCTGCTCATAGTGTACTGTTTGTCGACATGTTTTACTGCCCATGGTTTTCAGCTCTTTGTTCCTCAGTGCTCTTTTTCATGCTTTATTTAATTTTTTAATTTGTTCTGCATTCCTTGGCAAACCATCTGGTTGTAATATTGTAACATTTCTTTTTTCCATAAGTTGCCAGTGTTTTTGTGTTCAATTTAAAAATCATTATGGATCTGGAAATAAGTGAACGTTATATAAAACTGTGTAAGACTAAGTACACATTAGATAAGGCACTAAATTATGATTCTCTTTTGGTAAAACATAAGGCATTCGGTCCTAAATACTTAAGGATGCTGAAACTTATTCTAAGTAAATTTTTATTCTCAGATTTTTGTATTAGTGTTGAGGTCTTGGTCTAAATGGGCATAAGCACAGTATCTTCCTGCCACTGGTACTGTTTTTTCTGACCTTACCTGTCCGGATTGAAAATATTTGGTAGGCTAGAATGCTACATTTACTAGTTGACTTATCCTGGTCTTAAACCACAAAAGCTAATTCGTCCTCTTCTTCATCCAAACTTGCCAGAGCAATAAAGACTCTGATAGAAATACAGTTGAGTTGTACCACTCTTCATATGTGGAAACAACACCTTTGGCCCGTGACCAGCAGGACACAGCATTTTATTACGTTTTTACTAGTATTAAGGGGAGCGTGTGCTTGGAGCCATCCATGCCCTTTAGCTCAGTGTCTGCAAATACCAGCGTCTTTCAGTGGGTCAGAGGGAGGGCTCCCATTTGGGGTTGCAGTCTGGGTCCCCCGAGAGCAGTATCTCAGGGCAGCATAAAGGGGCTGCATGAGCTCCCAGTGGGGCTCACTGACACTGTACTTACTACTGAGTCACCAGCCAGACCTGATTAGAGATGTCCACAGAGAACTGGCTGTGCTGTCTCACTGTGTGGTTCTGTAAGCTGTCCATGGGCGTTGTAGGGTGTCCTGTAATATCTTGCCCTTCTAACAAAGCCTGTTTTGGTTTTCTTTTTCCTTCTGTTACATTGCAACTTTCTGACTTCTGTTGTACTTACTTTATATAATTCAAGTTTTACAAACAGAAACATTTTAGAGTGGTTTCAACAGTTTAATCTTGGCCAGCACCGAAAAATCTAATCTTAAATCCCCATGACTGTGTCTTAGGGAAGTTAGGCAGTAGGAGTGGAGGATGGAGGTGGCTTCTGTTTGTCTAAATCTACCAAATTACTAACTGGTAGTTAAAACGCCTTTCCTTTTGATTGAACCCATTGAATTTTGCTAGGTTTTTCTTTTGCTTCCTTCATTTTGGTGTTTGGAGTTTCCTGGGGTTTCCTCTGTAATTTCCTTCTCTGAAGCCCACCCTCCAGGGCGTTGTGAAGGACCCACCTGTGCTCCCACCGGCCCAGCCCAGCCCAGCATGCAGGGCTCCCGGGCCCCAGCAGGCCCTCAGGAAGCTTTGCATCAGCGACTCTGCTGCTCTCTCCCTGCCGGTGCCGGACTCTTGTCTTGGGGCCCCAGGTCCTCCTGCTTCTTCGCAAAAAGACCTGGAGGAGCTGTCCCGTCCTGGCATCACAGGGAGAGAGACACGCCTGTGGCCCGCAGCCTGTCACGAGGCACCGGCCGGGGGCTGCGGCCATGGCCACGCTCGCTCAGGCATCCCCCTCCCCGCTGCTGCCTCTGTGCTCAGCTGGCCTGGCTGGACCCGAACTGTGTGGCCAGGGTGGTCTGGACTGCGTCAGCCCCAAGTAACTGAACTGTGCACGAGTCACAGAGGGAGGTACAGCATCAGGGCTGCAGAAGTTAGAAGCCAAGCAGGCAGCATCTCGCCAAACATGCGATGTTTAGAATAGCCTTTTCCTGAGTGGGGAAGACGACTCTCCGGCTTTAAGTCTTTCTGAAGAGGAGCGGGCAGTGGAGGCTGTTTGGTTGGGGCTTTTTGCTTTTTTAAACTCTTCGCTAGATTTGAGGCAGCCTGTTCTCCTGCCCCAGAGTCACTGACCCGTGCTGCCGTGCTAACTGTGGTGTCTGTTTGTTTCCCTGTCGCTGCCCCAGGCACCACACGGTCACCCGGGGCATCACGAAGGGCGTGAAGGAGGACTTCCGCCTGGCCATGGAGCGCCAGGTGTCCCGCTGTGGGGAGAACTTGACGCTGGTGCTGCACAGGTTCTGCGTCAACGAGAAGATCTTGCTGCTCCAGACTCTGGCCTGACCGGCCCTCCCGCCAGAGGCAGCCCACAGCCGCGGGGCTCTGGGGAGACATAAAGCGCAGATGAGAGTTGCCGTCATCGCTCTTCAAAAGAGGAAGACCATCGGGGTTTTAACTCATTGGTCGCTTAGAAGTAGTTCCCAACAGTCCAAGAAGCTATTTCTATTTTTGTCGTATTTTGTAATTTTTGTAAAACAAAAGAAGCTGTTTTGTAAATAAAATCATCCTAAATTTGTGGGGGGGTTTTCAATTTTATTTTTAATTCTTAGAGTTTCTGAACAAGAGTGTACTTTACTTAAAAAGGCATTTCCTTCCATGTTCTCGAGATTTTCTTTTCCACAGTCAGGTTTTGGTGAATATCACATATCAACATAATGCTAGACCTTTTCCTTCAGGAAGTTTTAACACCAAAATCCTTTGTGCCAGGATGAACTTGAGTGAACTTCCACTGAAGCTGCCGTGGGGGGCCGGGGTGGGGGTCCTGCCCAGTGGCCCGTGGAGGGCGCCTCCTCTCCCCATCGGCTGCTGTCACCTGGGTGCCCTGAGCCAGACAGCCTAGCCTCCAGCCTGGTTCTGCCCAGCCCTTTACTTGCCACGTACCAGGGACAGATTCATGTCCCTCAAGCTTGTCATGGGAAATACAGGCACTGGCCCTTCCCTCCCAGCTGGCTGTAAAGCCAGTGACGTGACACACTTGGGATGGGGCCCCGCACTTCTAAGCACAACACTGGGGTCAGGGGTCAGGTTCATTTCTTTTGCTGTTCCTGAAATATATCAGGTAAGCATCACATGAACAGTTGTTTCTGAGGGGATGTAAGAATGAAAGAGCTAAGAAGTTGTTCAGTTACTGTTACTGGACCAGGCCCATTGGCCCAACACACAACAAGCCAAATGCTGAGAGGCCAAGGTTTGCAGCTGAGAAAGACTTTATTCCTAAGGCAGCCAAGCAAAGAGACAGGAGAACGAGTCTCAGGTCTGCCTGCCCGAAGGCAAGGGGCTCGGGGTATGTGTGTTGTGAGCAGGGTGGTCTTGGGAGTGAGGACAGATGAGGTGTTGGGTGTTCTGTGCGGGGGCATCTGGGCTCGTGCGTCTGCACGTTCACAGTGGAGGCACCGAGCGCCATCTGAGGGTGGAGACTTCTGGCGGCAGAGGCTGTTCATAGGAACCCCCAGGCCCAGTTTCAGGAGCAGTGGTCCCAACCGGTCCTAGCCAGCTCGCATCGGGCAGGAGCTGATTACAAGTTCCTGGGCTACGGGAGGCTGGGAGGCGTGCATTTAAAGAGGAAGAAAAGGAAAATAACCAAAGTGAGCTTGCTCGGTGAAAGCAGGCCACAGGGGTTTTTAAGCTGTTCCCTTTGCTGCTGTTCTGTGAGAAGCTCGGGAACTTCCGTTAGTCACCAGTCTCTGTCAACCCTGTGGGGCGTGGTTTCATTACCGTGCACAAAAATTTTAGAAATCTTTCTATATAAGACCCTTTTATAGATTTATTAAAATCGATGGGAAACTGCAACAAGAGAAGCCACCACTATGAGAAGCACATGCACCACAACGAAGAGTAGCCCCTGCTTGCCACAACCGGAGAAAGCTGCGTGCAGCAACGGAGACCCAATGCAGCAAAAAAAAATAATTATTTTTTTTAAATCAATAGGAAAGAAAAGAAGATGGTGAGGTAGAAGGACTTTGAGCTCACCTCCTCTCATGAGCACACCAAAATCACAACTGCTGAACAACCATCAAAATAAAAGACTGGAACCTTCCAAAAACATGTTCTACATCCAAAGACATGACGAAACCACAACGAGACAGTAGGAGGGGTTCACTTGCAATATAATCAAATCCCATACCACCCAGGTGGGCGAACCACAAACTGGACAATAATTATATTGCAGAAGTTCTCCCACAGGGGACTTCCCTGGTGGCACAGTGGTTAGGACACCTTGCTCCCAATGCAGGGGGCCCAGGTTTGATCCCTGGTCAGGAAACCAGATCCCACAGGCATGCCACAACTAAGGGTTCATGTGCCGCAACTAGGGAGCCCGCAAGCCACAGCTAACACCCAATGCAACCAAATAAATATTTTTAAAAGATGTTCTCCCACAGGAGTGAGAGCTCTGAGTCCCACATCTAGCTCCCCAGCCTGGGGGGGGGGGGTCCAGCATTGGGAGGGGGAGCCCCCAGAGCATTTGGCCTCGAAGGCCAGTTGGGCTTGACTGTAGGAGCTCCACGGGACTGGGGGCAGCAGAGACTCCACTCTTGGCACACACAAGGTCCTGCGTGCACCAGAACTCGGGGCAAAAGCAGTGACTTCACAGGAGCCTGGGCCAGACCTACCTGCTGGTCCTGGAGGTTCTCCTGGGGAGGTGGGAAGGGGTGCCTGTGGCTCTCTCTGCGGTCATGAAAACTGGTGGCGAACATATCAGGGAGTGTTCACCTGTGTGAACTCACTAGAGGCAGACATTTTGCTTGGCTCATTAGCACCAAGACCTGGCCCTATGCAACAGCCTATGGCTCAGTGCTGGGATGCCTCAGGCCAAGACAACAGGGGGGGTAAACAGCCCCACCCATCAACAGACAGGCTGCCTAAAGATTTCCTGAGCCCACAGCTACCTCTAGACATGGCCCTGCCCACTAGAGGGCCAAGACCAAGCTCCACCCACCAGTGGGCAGGCACCAGCCATTCCCGCCAGGAAGGCTGCACGAGCTGCTAGACCAGCCTCATCCGCCAGGGGGCAGATACCAGAAGCAAGAAAACTATGATCCCAGAGTCTGCAGAACTGAGTCCACAAACGCAGATCAGAACCTACTCTGGGACCACCTGGTCCCTGGCCCTTGGGTGATGAGAGGGGAGTGTACTGCTGGGACACATAGGACATCTCCTACAGAGGGCCACCTCTCCAAGATCAAGAAAAATAACTAACCTACCACATAAATAAAAATGCAAACAAATGTAAACAAAATGAGACAGCAAAGGAATACATTCCAGATGAAGGAACAACATAAAACACCAGAAGAACAACTAAGTAACGTAGAGACAGGCAATCTAGCTGAGAAAGCGTTCAGGGTAATGGTCCTAAAGATGATCCAAGAACACAGGAAGAGAATGGATGCAGAGAGTGAGAAGTTACAAGAAGTCTTTAACAAAGAAAAGATATAAAGAACAGGCAAACAGAGTTGAAGAAAACAATAACTGAAATGAAAAATACACTCGAAGGAATCAATAGGATAAATGAGGCAGAAGAACGGATCAGTAAGCTGGAAAACAGAATAGTGGAAATCACTGGTGCAAAACAAAATAAAGAGAAAAGAATGAAAAGAAAAAAGGACAGTTTAAGAGACCTCTGGGACAACATCAAATGCACCAACATTCGCATTATATTGGAAGGAGAAAAGAGAGGGAAAGGGCATGAAAAATATTTTAAAAGATAACAGCTGAAAATTCCCTAACATGGAAAAGGAAACAGTCACCCAAGGCCAGGAAGCACAGAGTGTCTCATACAAGATTAACCCCAGGAGGAACATGCCAAGACACATAGTAATCAAATTGACAAAAATTAAAGACAAAGAGAAAATATTAATATTAAAAGCAACAAGGGAAAAACAACAGATAACATAAAGGGGAATCGCATAAGACTATAAGCTGATTTTTCAGCAGAAACTGCAGGCCAGAAGGGAGTAGCACACTATATTTAAAGTGATGAAATGGAAAAACCTACAACCAAGAACACTCTACCCAGCAAGGCTGTCATTCAGATTCGACAGAGAAATCAAAAGCTTTACATACAAGCAAAAGCTAAAAGAATTCAGCACCATGAAGCAGCTTTACAACAGATGCTAAAGGAATTTCTTTAAGCAGGAAAGAAAAGGTCATAACAAGAAAATTATGAAATGGGAATGCTCAGCAAAACATACAGTAAAGGTAGGAAGTCATCCACACACTAATATGATATCAAAACCAGCCACCGTGAGAAGAGGAGAGTACAAATGCAGGAAATGGGAATTGCATTTGAAATTAAGAGACAAGCAACTTAAAACAATCTTGTATATATATAGACTGCTGTATCAAAACCTCATGGGAAATGCAAACCAAAAAACTACAATAGATACACAAACAAAAAAGAAAAAGCAACTCAAACACAACACTAAAGATGGTCATCAAACCACAAAAGAAGAGAACAAAAGAGGGAGGGAAGAAAAAAGACCTACAAAACAACCAAAAACAATTAAGAAAATGGCAATAGGAACATATATATCAATAATTACCTTAAATGTAAATGGATTAAATGCTCCAACCAAAAGACATAGACTGGCTGAATCGATATAAAAACAAGAGATGAATATGCTGTCTACAAGAGACCCACTTCAGATCTAGAGACATACACAGACTGAAAGTGAGGGGATAGAAAAAGTTATTCCATGCAAATGGAAATCAAAAGAAAGCAGGAGTACCAATACTTATATCAGATAAAATAGACTTTAAAGATGGTTACAAGAGACAAGGACACTACATAATGATCAAGGGATCATCCAAGAAGAAGATATAACAATTGTAAATATATATGCACCCAAAACAGGAGCATCTCAATATATAAGGCAAATGCTACACTAACACAATAATAGTGCGGGACTTTAACACCCCAGTTACATCAATGGACAGATTATCCAGACAGAAAATCAATAAGGAAACACAGGCATTAAATGACACATTAGATCAGATGGACTTAATTGACATTTTTAGAGCATTTTATGTGAAAGCAGCAGAATACACATTCTTTTCAAGTGCACATGGAACATTCGCCAGGATAGATCATATGCTGGTCCAGAAAGCAATTTTTGATAAATTGAAGAAAAAAATCATATCAAGCTTCTTTTCCGATCACAACACTCTAAGATTAGAAATCAACTACCAGAAGAAAAAAAAAACTGCAAAAAACACAAACACATGGAGGCTAAACAATACGCTACTAAACAACCAATGGACCACTGAAGAAATCAAAGAGGAAATTAAAAACTACCGAGAGATAAAATGAAAACATGATGATCCAAAACCTGTGGGACACAGCAAAAGCAGTTCTAAGATGGAAGTTTATAGCAATACAATCTTACCTCAGGAAACAAAAATCTCAAATAAACAACCTAAGTTTACACCTAAGCAACTAAAGGGGAACAAACAAAACCCAAAGTTAGTAGAAGGAAAGAAATCATAAAGATCAGAGCAGAAGTTAATAAAATAGAGATGAA